GATCAAAGTCCACACACAAACTGCAAAAGTGGCATCAAACGTCCAGCAACTGGAAAATCTAAACAAAGGAAACAATGATGTTATGAGGGGCACATTGGCTCTGGTGGAATGGGAAACTGCATTCAAAGGTGTGATGGTAAATAGGTAATAAGTAATATTTAAACAACCAATAAGTGTTCCATTCCTGACTAATAAATCAAGGTCAATATTAAGTGAAGAGGCTTATAAATTTGTCAAAAAAATGGTTCAAGTGCTGATCAGAAAGTTGCTCCTCAGTTTTCCTTCTCTAGATGTTGTCACTGGTTTGCAAGAGGCACAAGGTGACTTGTTCAATGTTATAAATGTCACTGAATTGTTCATTAAAAGTCACATTTTACAACAAATGCTGAGGGAAAAATCACTTTTTTTTCAGATTCAAAGTAGCTTTTACCGAATGACTCCATGGGATTTTGTCCTTTTGAACTGATGTATGGACAACAATGTGAATGACGTAGTGATGACTCCAAAAACAAGAGTCATCAAGTGGGTCATATTGCCATATTGAAAAGGTGTTATAACAGGGATGATAAGACCATAAAACATAGGACCAGATGTAGGCCATTCAGCTCGTTGAGTCTGCTCTACCATTCAATGACATTATAACTGATCTGATAATCAAGAGGTTAGTCATGGCTTACATCAACTCCAGCCTACCAAACTGCCTTGATCCTTTGAAATTCACCTACTGGTGCAGCAGATCCACAGCACATGCCATCTCCCTGTCCCTACACTCATTCTTGGAACATCTGGATTACAAGGATACCTACGTCAGACTCCAACTTATTGATTACAATTCTGCCTTCAACAGCATAGTTCCAAACAAACTCATCTCATGCCTCGGCACCACTCTCACTATCTGGCCCATTGACCGCATTCAGTAAGGATAGGCAACAATGCCTTTTCCACCATAATCCTCAACACCATGCCCCATGAGGCTGCGTACTCAGCCCCCATTATACTCCTTGCACACTCAGAACTGTGTGGCTAAATTCCACCCCAATTCCATTTACAAATTTACTGATGACATCATCATTGTAGGCCAGATCACAAACAACAAGACAGAAAACAAGAAGGAGATTGAGTGCAGAGTGGCATAGTGTATAGACAACAATCTCTCCATCAACATCAGCAAAACAAAGATGATGGTCATTGACTTCAGCAAGCAGAGTGGAGGGCACGCCCCTCTCTGCATCAATGGTACTGAGATGGATATGGTTGAGGGCATTAAGTTCCTGAGAGTGCTGATCACCAACAATCTGTCCTGGTCCACCCATGTTGACGTGACAGTCAAAAAAGCACAACGTGTCTATTTCCTCAGGAGGCTAAGGAAATTTGGCATGGTCAAAAGGACTCTTCCCAATTTTTATAGATGCACCATAGCAAGCATCCTATCTGGATACATCACAGTGTGATATGACATCTTCCCAAGACTGCAATAAATTACAGAGAGTCGTAAACACAGCCCAGTCAATCACGCAAAACAGCCTTCCATCCATTGACTCCATCTATACTTCTTGCTGCCCGGGAAAGCAACCAACATAACCAAAGACCCTCCCATCTTACCCTGGTTATACTCTCTTCCAAGTTCCTCTATCAGGCAGAAGGCATAAAAGTTTGAATAGATGTATAAACAGGTTTAGAAACAACTTCTTCCCTGCTGAAAGAACCTCTCTAATTTCAAATAACGTTGATCTTGCTAATATTGATCTTGCTTTGTTCACCTCCTGTGCAGTGCAACTTTGTATGCCTCATTCAGTTGAAGCATCCTATGACCTGTATACCCTTGTTGGCTGTGATTTGCCTGTACTGTTCGCAAAAAAACTTTTCACTGTAATTAGGTACACGTGACCACAATAAATCAAATCAATCAAAATCAGCTTCTTCACCGTTGTTATCAGACTTTTGAACGGATCTCTGAAATGTTAATTCTGATCTTAATTAATTCTTATTAATTTAATAATTAATTGAAAAAACACTTTTCACTGTATCTCGGTACGTGACAACAATTAATCAATCCTCAACTCCACTTTCCTGCCTTTTCCCCATGACTGTTGATCCCCTTACTGATTAAAAATCTGTCTAACTCAGCCTTGAATATACTTAATGACCCAGCCTTGACAGCCCTCTGTGGTAAAGAATTCCACAGATTCACTCCCCTCTGAGAGAAGAAATTCTTCTTCATCTCTGTCTTAAATGGGTGACCCCTTACTCTGAGATGATGCCGTCTGGTCCTAGATTCTCCCACAAGGGGAAATACCCTTTCCACATCTCCCCTGGCAAGTTCCCGAAGAATGTTTTATGTTTCACTAAGGTCACCTCTCATTCTAAGTTCCAATGAGTACAGGCCTAACGTGCTCTACCTCTCCTCATAAAACAGTCTCTCCATATGTGGGATCAGCTGAGTGAACCTTCTCTGACTGATTCCAATGCCAATCTATCCTTCCTTAAATAAAGAGCCCAAAACTGCTCACAGTATTCCAGCTGTGGTCTAACTACTGCCTTGCATAGTTTTAGCGACACTTCCCTATTTTTATACTCCATTCCCTTTGAAATAAATGCCAACGGTCCATGTGCCTTCCCTATTACCCACTGAACCTGGATGCTAGATTTTTGTGATTGATGCAGGAGGACTCCCAAATCCCTCTGTTCCTTATCTTTCTGCAATCTTTTAATATTTCAATAATAGTAAGCTCTACTCTTCCTAGAAGTGTATACTGTCACATTTGCCCACATTATGTTCCATCGGCCAAGTTTTTTGCCCACTCACTTAGCCTCTCCATATCCCTCTGCAGACTCTTTGTGTCCTCATCACTTGTTATCCCATCTATTTTTCTGTGATCTGCAACTTGGCTATAGTACATTCACTTTCCTCATCCCAGTCATTAATATATATAATAGTAATAACTGTGGCCCCAGCACTGATCCCTGTGGTACTCAACTCGTCACAAGTTGCCATCCTGAAAATCCACCCCCCTCCCTTATCCCAACACACTATTAGTCTTCTATTACTTAGCCAATCCTCTATCCCTGCTCATATACTAGCCCCAACACCATAGAGTTACATTTTATGCTGCAAAAGGAGGCCATTCGGCTCATCCTACCTTCACTGATTTTATCATTTCATGCCAGTCTCCTGTCTTTTCCCTGTATCCCTGCAACACCATTTTGATCCAAATGACCACACAATGTCCAGTCAAACCTGCCTCCCCCACACTTCCAGGCAGTCCATTCCAGATCCTCAGTAGTCACTGTAGGAAAAAGTGTTCTCTCATGCCACCCTTGCTTTATTTGCACATCACTTTAAATCTATCCCCTCCCTCTTGTTCTCGCTCCTTTTACGAGCCAGAGCAGCTTCTCCTTATTGACTGTATCCTGCCCCTGCTCATGATTTTGAAAACCTCTATCAGATCCCCTGTCAGCCTCCGCTCTCCAAAAAGAACAGTCCAACTCCTTCAATCTTATCTCCTTGCTCACACTCACAGCAGGACTTGCCTTTGGTCTTACAGTACTGTTTGAAGTCATCATTTGGTCCCTTATGTTTTCATACTGGGCTCCTTTTTTGGAATCATTCTTATCAGCCCAAATAAGATTTCCCATTAAACATCCAGCATTCTGAATGAAGATATCCTGCCTGAATTATTCAGAATACGTACTTATATTGAAAGACTGGCTGGGAAATACTGGAAGATTTTGGATGATTCAGACATTTTCTGAACTGGAAAGAGTTGTAAATCTTCAGACACTGAATTGGTCCATGTCCAACTGCAACAAGATCTGGACAATATCCAGGCTTGGGCTGAGAAGTAGCAAGTACCATTCATGCCACACAAATGCCAGGCAATGACCATCTCCAATGAGAGACAATCTAACCACCGCCCTTTGACATTCAATGGTGTTACCATTATTAAATCCCCATCCTGGTGGTTACCACTGACCAGAAACTCAACTGGACTCACCATATAAAAACACTGGTTACAACAGCAGGTCAGAGCCTACGAATCCTGCAGCAAGTAACTCACCACTGGACTTCCCAAAGCCTGTCCACCATCTACAAGGCGCAAGTCAGGAGTGTGATGGAATACTCCCCACTTACCTGGGATGGGTGCAGCCCCAACAACACTCAAGAAGCTTGACACCATCCAGGACAAAGCAGCCCTCTCCACATCCACAAGCATCCACTCCCACCACCACTGACGCTCAGAGGAGCAGTGTGTACCATCTACAAGACACACTGCAGAAATTCAGCCTGGAGTGGGACTCGAACCTCAAGTTTCTGGCTCAGAGGCAGTGATCTACCAACTGTGCAAACAGATCTTGTACAGAAAGGGGAACCACCGAAACATCAGCTTTCCTGCTTCTCTGATGCTGCTTGGCCTGCTGTGTTCATCCAGCTCTACACATGGTTACAATATTGTGCCTTTTTCTGAGTTTATGAATTGCTGCTCTCTGCACCTGGGCTAAGGTCTCAGGCACTCTCCTGGGGCCATGGTAAATACACCCTTCTCAAATGTGACACATTGTGAGGTGCTTTCCCAAACTCCTCCATCATTGTAGGGAGGCAAGGATCAGGCCTGCTGTAGCCATTAATTAACAGGCTGTCTATGTTTTTACTTTATTCATTCACGGGATGAGGGCGTCGCTGGCTAGGCAACATTTACTGCCCCTCCCTAATTGCCCAGAGGGCAGTTCAGAGTCAACCACAATACTGTGGGTTTGGTGTCATGTGTCAGCCAGACCAGGGAAGGATGGCAGTTTCAATCCCTAAAGGACATTAGTGAACCAGATGGGTTTTTCCAACAATCGACAATGGATTCACAGTCATCATTAGATTCCTAATTCCAGGTATTTATTGAATTCAAATTCCATCTTCTGCCGTGGCAGGATTCAAACCTGGGTCCCCCAGATGTTATCTGGGTCTCTGGTTTAACAGTCCAGCAATAACACCACTAGGCCATCGCCTCCCCACTAATGGCATAGAATGCTTTTTATTCATACCATCCAGCCAATCAATACTGCCCAACACAGCAAAATTCCCACTCAAATGTTTATCCACACAACCATCTGATACAGCAGAGTGTGGGAATCAGCAGAAAGACAAAATCGACTGATTAACCAAGAGATCAGAGGAATTCACCTCCTTGGGCAACAATGCACGGTCATGAGTAAGTTCTCCCGTTGGAAATGGGTGTTTGGGTTCACCAAGCTGTTGGGATATAATGTCATTCCTGAAGGATGGATCCTGCTCCCAGCTGCAGTGGATCACAAGGTGCCAACTTCCCGCAGAATCCATTCAATGCCGTCAAGAAAGCCGTTAAGCGAAAATGCATCTGTATCATGGGCCTGTTCAAAGAAACAAACAGGGAAGGAAAGGATGGTCAGATCATACTCACTATGTTCAAACACACATCCCTTTAACCCACTGAGCGTTAAAGTCTGGCAGCAGAGCAGTGAGAAACTTTCGAACAATGAGACTATGACAGGGGCAAAATAAATATGTTTTCACACAACCTAAGAACCCTGGGTGGTTAAAGTGCGTCAAAACAAACAGGGGAAGCCTACATGAGTTTCTCAGAACTCCAACCTGCAAACAGCTTATAGAAACTCACAAAGAAAACAGCTGAAATTGAAATCTGGGAGAGCAAAGGGAGGACATGGAAAGATAAAACCAGTAAAAGTACAAAGGATGTGCATTTCCTGTGCCTGGAGGTGGTGAGATAGACAAATCACCGACCTGTTGGGTCAGAGATACTTGCCACCTTGTTGCCATTTCAGCGAGTTCTGCGTGGGAAGGTACATGGGCAACATTCTTGACCTATCATCAGCAAAGACCTTTCAGTGGTCAACCAACAGCTCCAACAACACTCAAGAAGCTCAACAAAGCAGCCCGCTTAGCATCCATTCCCTCCACTATCAACGCTCAGTAGCAGCAGTGTGTACTGCAGAAATTCACCAAAGATCCTCAGACAGCATCTTCCAAACCCAAGATCACTTCCATCTAGAAGGACAAGAGCAACAGATACATGGGAACACCACCAGCTCCAAGTTCCCCTCCAAGCCACTCACCATCCTGACTTGGAACAACTTTGTTTATTTTATTTGTTTGTGGGATGGGGGCTTCATTGGCAAGGCTGACATTTGTTGCACGTCCCTAATTGCGTCTTGACCTGAGTCACTTGCTAGGCCTTTTCAGAGGGCAGTTAACAGCCAACCACATTGTTGTGGGTCTGGAGTCACATGTAGGCCAGATCAGGTAAGGGTGGCAGATTTTCCTCCCTAAAGGACAACCACCTGTCAAGTTTGGATTTGTACCCATTTCTTCATATCCTTAGTCTGGGTCTTGCGATTACTAGCCCAGTGATATTACCCTGATGTCACTACCTCCCCAATATCACCATTCTTTCAGCGTCACGTAGTCAAAATCGTGGAACTCTCTCCACTGCAGCATTAATCCACTAGTTTAAGAATAAAATCAGGAATCGAGGGTCACAGGAAATTGCCCTCACTCATGAGCCAGACTCTGGTCTTAGTTGGCAAAGTGGAGCCCAATCTACCATCAGGAAAGTTCTACATGGCTCTGACAATCGTCTTGGACAGACTATTGAAGTGGTCTCTCAGGTTCCCCCCGCTGTTAGTGGCTAGCCGTCAAAGTCATCCCCTAGAAGTGTGCTGCTGGTGACAGACTAGCATTGGCCCTACTATTGGAAAAATGCGAGCTCGCCCAACTCTTGTTCAGTCTCTCTAGCTCTTTGAAAACTCCTCCCTGAGTCCCTGCAAACAGAATGGTTCACCCTCCAGCATCAAGAATTGATATTTCTATTGTGTCATCCCAGGGGGATAGGGTGACTTTCTTTCTCTTTGTAGAATTGTGCAGGGCAGTGGTAAGGCAGTGGCTCCTTATTCATCTGATTTAGCACATTCTCAAGGGCACCCCATCATACTTACCAACCAGGCTCGGTCCAGCTGGCCCAAATGTAACTGGTGAGCCACATAAACACATGGTATCCGTTGTACACCAGGCTGTGAAATACAGCACAAGACCAGGAGGGGGCGGCTTCGAGCACCCAGGCTTGGATCAATCATGGCCTGAATCTGGAGGACTTCCTGCTCTCGCTCATGCCCTGAGGGAGAGGAGACCAGATTGATACATTGCAATCAAGCATGTTACACTGCACTAGTGTGGCACAAAAGTAGTCAGGCCTTGAGCTAGACTAGCTGTGAGCTCTCTTCAGAATGGGGAGACAATCTAGCAGCTCAATGTTTGAGCCAGCAGTGAGGAACATGGAAAGCTCAGCAATCTGCAGCAACCACAGAGCCAGGACTGGCCCACTTATTGCCCAACCCCAACTACCCATCAACCTGAGTGTCTCCCTCGACCAGTTTAAAGGCAATGCAGGTTCAGCCATATTGCTGTGGGTCTGCAGTCACATGTCGGCCAGACCAGGTAAGGATGACAGTTTCCTTCCCTAAAGGACATTGGTGAACCAGATGGGTTTTTCCCAATGTTTGGCAGTGCTCACATGGGTGGTATTGGACAAGCTGTTTAACGCCAGCCTTTGATTAAACAGAAACTTTGCTATTGCCACAAAGAGATTCAAACCGATGTCCCAAGAACATTAGCCCAGTGCTGTGTACACAAACAACCACCTTCCCAAAACTTGTGCTGTCCCCGTCATGGGAGTGTTTGATGGGGACAGTGTAGAGGGAGCTTTACTCTGTACCTAACCCCGTGCTGTCCCTGTCATGGCAGTGTTTGATGGGGGACAGTGTAGAGGGAGCTTTACTCTGTATCTAACCTCATGCTGTCCCTGTCCTGGCAGTGTTCGATGGGGACAGTGTAGACAAAGCGTTACTTTGTATGTAACTCTGTGCTGTCCCTGCAATGACACTCAATGTTCCAAATTACAATGAATTGATAAGAATTGAATATAATCGAAAAGGCTGTTGCTAGGATTCAGTCAGCGTTGGGGATTTCCAGCCATGACTTAGTTGTTGATGAGCGGGTGTGTATTATTCATAATCTGTGATACAGACAAAGTCAGCAGGCCTTGCCCAATGAGAGAGTGTAGTATTGAATGAAAAGGTTGCACTAACTTCTCCTGCCTTCAGCATTTGTCACGTAGATGAAGCCGTTGACCACACTGCAGACATTCTGGACCTGAGGGATGATGCTGTAAGCTGCTCTCGCTGCCTCACCCTGCTTCCCTTCTGCACCTCGCTGTTCCACAAAGAGTCTGTTGACAGCCACATTCTCTTCGAGTCTCGCACTTTCTCGTTCCTTCCTGAAGGAGGTGGAGAGAAAAGAAGAACATCAGCAATACGACCATGACCTTTGTCCATTCGTGAGATTCTGACTGACCTTCAGCACTATCTTCCTGCGCCATCTCTCTCTCTCTCTATCTCTCTCTCCCTTAGGAGGGGAAACCCATTGCAGTCTCTCATGTATCTGCTCAATGACTGTGCCTCAACAGCTTGCTCAGCAGAGAATCTGAAAGATTTACGAACCTCCAAACAAACAAGTTCATCCTTATCTCTGTCTGAAATGACCTGGTCCTTATTTAAGACCATGTGCCCTGATTCAAAAGCCACATGCCCCTAGTCAGGGGAAACCAGCTTACTACATCAACCATTCAGGGCTGCCAGAAGATTTGGTACCTCATGATCTTTCTAGCAAGGACAGGTCTGTCTGCATGACAACACTCGTATGAGTCTCAAAAAAATGTAATCTTATAATTATAATCTTTCACCAATGTAACACAATGTATAGAGAGCTTTAGTCTGTATCAAACCCTGTGCTGCCTCTCATGGGAGTGTTTGATGGGTACAGTGTAGAGGTAGCTTTACTCTGTATCTAACCCCGTGCTATTCCTCAGTTATGTGGTGGAGAGAGGTGCGACTGTACATAGGGTAGGGTGGTGTAATGACGGGATGGATTAATACGTTGGGCTGATGGTGAATGGAGGTATCCTGAGGTGAGATCTTGAGGGCCTGACTCACATCACTATAACAGGGTCAACATTCCAACACTTTTATGCTACCTCTCATGTCCTACTCCCAACTTGGAGGTTCCAAGTCTATCTCCATCTCACCTCCTAGAGCCCTACTCCCTCAAACCTCACTCCTTCCCAGAATAAAAATGAGGGGGGGCCTGCTGAGTAAGGAAGCTTCCCAACTAGATCCTGCACTTCCTCCATACAACGTCATGTCAAACTCAAAAATTTGATCTGGATGTCAGACAGGAACGATGTTCACTGGTGGTGGGAGAAAAGAACAAGGAGACAGAGTTTATAAAATTCAAGCTAACTATATCGAGTCATGTCAGGGGGAAAGACTTAAGGAGAAGCTGGGTAGGCTCGGAGTTTTTTCACTGGAGCGTAGGAGGCTGAGGGGTGAACTTATAGAGGTTTATAACATCATGAGGGGCATGGATAGGGTGAATTGCCAAGGTCTTTTTCCAAGGATAGGGGAGTCCAAAAATAGGGGGCATAGGTTTAAGGTGAGAAGGGAAAGATTTAAAAGGGACCTGAGGGGCAATGTTTTCATACAGAGGGTGGCGTATGTGGAATGAACTGCCAGGGGAAGTGGTAGGTGCAGGTACAGTTGAGAGGCATAAGGGCCAAATGCAGACAAAACGGACTGGTTTAGTTTGGGAAACCTGGTCAGCATGGATGAGTTGGACCGAATAGTCTGTTTGCATGCTGTTTGACTCTATGACTTATTCACAATGGGCCCAGAAATCTGGATTCTCTCTCTACCAATTTGCTGAAACTGGCTTGAGATCCATGAGGAGTGGGACCAGGTCATAATATCGAAACAGGATTCAGTGCCAGTGGTTTTTGAATAAGAAAGCCTAAATTTACATTTTGTCGAAATTCAATTCCCTGTGTAGTTGGTATTAAACTGAAATTTAGAGTTTAGGTTCTGTAGTTGTCAGCCTTGACCAGGGTTTGAGCAATCTCCTGTAGAAAAGCTCAGGCAGGCCACTGTCTAAGGAGCATATAAAACTGGCCAACTTAGTGCAACTTATCTCCGATGTCCCCTGTAATGTTTTTCCCACTGCACAGTCATCCAAGATCTCTGCATGAAAGAAGCTTCTGGAAGTGGAAACCAGTTATCATCATGTGTGGACTTCCCAATGACTGTCTAGCCACACAGATTAGAGGAAACATTGCTTAGCGTTTAAGCACATTAACACTCACCAGGTTGTTGAATATAAAGTCAGAATGTTAAACTTATATTCATTTTTGAATAAGAAGGTGATTCCAGATCCAATTCCTGAAAATAGAAAGGTAGCAGTTCAGAGAAACAGTTTCACCTTGGAACAGACCTTACAAGAAAATAATAAGGACCTGTGGAATTATACAAATAAACCGAGCATAGAGTGAAAAGCAGCAAGGCTCGTCCACGCCTCTGCCTCACTGTGTCCACCGCATCAGAAAGCACAGATCTTCACTGGGAAAGGTAATCCAGTGCCCACATGGAATGCTCAATTGCAATTTGGGGCAACTGTCCAAGACAACTGGATAGGAGAACACAGGAGATCTCCCTCTGCACTGTCGCCATCAAACACTCTCACAGGGACTGCATGGGGTTAGATACAGAGTAAAGCTCCCTCATCAAACACTCCCAGGACATGGACAGCACAGGGTTAGATACACATTAAAGCTCCCTCTACACTGTCTCCCATCAAACACTCCCAGGACAGGGACAGCACGGGGTTAGATATAGATTGAAGAATAATGTTCTTCCCTCAACTCGATCATGAAGTATTAGTGGGGGAATTGGAGGGTGGGGAAGGGGAGGGATATGACTTACCATCAATCTGTCGCTGTGGTAGACTGACAACAGGCAGCATTCCCGGTGAGTTCATCATCTTCGTGACCAGTGAGATGTCCAGTTGCTCCAAGCCAGGCCCGAACATGGCAAACCGTGGCTCTGTCTGAGAGACCAGTGAGTACAACAAGGAGGTGACTGAGCTATAGGCACTGGGGCTCACTCTCCTGTGCTTTCTGCCCTCGGGGCAGCTCGTTAAATACCTGCTCGGAAAGAAACAGCATTCCTGAATACTCGCACCTGGCTTTCCTGAGCAGTGGTCACAACAGGACTGAAGCTCAAGGACAGGGGACTTTGGAAAAGTGAGAGAAAACAGTCAGTCACTCAACAGCAGCAACAAGCTCCAGTTTTAAAAAGGTGTAGGAACAGAGAGAGACCATTTGGCCCTTTGAGTCTGTCCTACATTCACCCAGCTTAGATCCATTGACCTCAATACCCTTGTCTGGCAGAGATTTAAGGGGGTGACAGTGGCGCAGTGCTAACGTCACTGAACAAGTAAACAAGTGCTTGGACTAATGCTCTCGGACACACGTTCAAATCCCACCTCAGCTGCTGGGGCGAGATGAATTCATAACTCTGGGATTCAAAGTAGTCTCAGCAATGGTGACCAGGAAATGATTATAGATTGTTATAAAAATCCATTGGGCTCACTAACTTCCTTTAGGGAAGGAAATCTGCCATTCTTACCTGGTCTGACCTATATGTGACTCCAGACCCACAGCAATGTGGCTGACTCTGAACTGCCCTCTGAAATGCTAAGGGAGACACTCAATTCCAGGGCAATTAGGAAGGGGCAATAGATTCCTGGCCTCATCAGCGACACCTGAATCCCAAGGAAGAAATGAAGAGACAGATTGCACTTATTGAGATTGAAAGACAGAGCAGAGAGAGGGCCATGTTGCTGGAAGACATTCTGAGGTCACTCAGAGTATCGAGTGAAAGGACTTTAAAAGGACAGTGGGAGTTTCACCCCAACGTAGCTAGAAAAAGATAGCCTGTTGTACCCATGATTATTTGGCATGTGCTGCCCAATCACAGAACCAGCCTGTACTCTGCCTGTTCCCAGCAGCTGCAGGAATAATCCTTAGGGTGCCAACTCTTACACTAATAACCCGTTTCACATCATCAGTCAGGTTTATCATGTGGCTCTGATACATTTACTAGAAATGGCACATGGTTGGGCCCAATGTCCTAGACCCAACCATTTTCAGCTGCTTCATCAATGACCTTCCCTCCATCATAAGGCCAGAAGTGGGGATGTTCGCCGATGATTGCACAATGTTCAGCATCATTCACAACTCCTCAGATACTGAAGCAATCCGTGTTCACATGCAACAAGATCTGGGCAATATCCAGGCTTGGGCTGACAAATGGCAAGTCACATTCATGCCACACAGATGCCAGGCTATGACCATCTTCAATAAGAGACAATCTAACCACCACCCCTTGACTTTCAATGGTGTTATCATCACTGAATCCCGCACTATCAACATTCTGGGGGTTCCCATGAACCAGAAACTGAACTGACTCGCCACATAAACAGAGTGGCTGCTAGGGCGGGATGGTTCGATTCCACCCTCGGGCAACTGTCTGTGTGGAGTTTGCACATTCTCCCTGTGTTTGCGTGGGTTTCCTCTGGATGCTCCGGTTTCCTCCCACAGTCCAAAGATGTGCAGGCTATGTGGATTGGCCATGGAAAATTGCCCATAATGTTCAGGGATGTGTGGATTAGGTAGATTATAGGGTTATAGGGGGATGGGTTTGGGTGGGACTTGAATCTGGGCCTCAGTGTGGACTTGTTGGGTTGAAGGGCCTGTTTCTACACTGAAGGGATTCTACGAAAAGAGCAGCTTCGAGCTAGGAACACTGCAGCGCTTAAGTCACCTCCTGTCTCCCCAAAGCCTATCCAACACCTACAAGGAACAGGTCAGGAGTGTGATGGAATACTCCCCACTTGCCTGGATGGGTGCAGCTCCAACAACACTCAAGAAGCTTGATACCATCCAGGACAAAGCAGCTGCTTGATTGCCACTACATCCATAAATATCCACTCCCTCCACCACCGACACTCAGTAGCAGCCGTGTGTACTATCTATAAGATGCACTGCAGAAATTCACCAAAGATCCTCAGACAGCACCTTCCAAACCCATGACCACTTCCAACTAGATGGACAAGGGCAAAACATATCTGGGAACACCCCCCTGCAAGGTCCCCTCTGAGCCACTCCCCATCCTGACTTGGAAATATATCGCCATTCCTTCACTGTCGCTGGGTCAAAATCCTGGAATTCCCTCCCTAAGGGCATTGTGGGTCAACCCACAGCACATGGACTGCAGTGGATCAAAAAGACAGCTCACCCCCACCTTCTCAAGGGGCAACTAGGGACGGGCAAGAAATACTGGGCCCAGCCAGAGACACCCACATCCCATGAGTGAATAAATAAATACATATTCCCAGGCAGGAACCCACCTCTGCAAATAAAAGAAATATGTTAAAGCACTTTGTGTCTTTTTGAATTACTGCGGTGCTTGGGGAACCAATTACTGCCCTGCTGCTTTCTTCACAGCAATGTTCCAGCCAATCAGAATCAATGTGCCAACCAACCAGCATCCTTTGTTCCAGTAGCACATATCGTTGTGATTATTGGAAATTTGACATTCTTGCATTTGTCTGGATACTTGTCACCGTTTTCAGAAAAGGGAAGAATAAAATTTCAGATGCAGGATCACTGGACTCAAGACATTAGCTCTGTTTTCTCTCTCCACTGATGCTGCCAAACCTGCTAAGTTTCTCCGGCAATTCCTATTTTTAAATACAATTTCAACCAGCTTCAACCATGGACTGCAGTGGTTCAAGGTGACAGCCCATCACCACCCTCTCTAGGACAATCAGGGATGTTGATACACTATGTCTAACATTATAGTATAGATATTATATACATCATATAGATCCATATACCAAGAAACATGTTTTAAAATCCTGTCCATTCTCCCAGACTGACGTATCAGTGTATTATCAGAGATTAGATTTAGATTTTATTGTACTCCAGTACAAGAGTACAGGATTAAAAACAGAAGCAGAAATCAATGAAACAGCCAAGAGCACTGGGACCTCTGCTGTTTGTGATATATATAAATGACTTGGATGAAAATGTAGATGGGTGGGTTAGTAAATGTGAAGATGATACAAAGATCGGTGGAGTTGTGGATACTGTAGAAGGTTGTCAAAGGATACAGTGGGATATAGATCAGTTGCAGATATGGGCAGAGAAATGGTAGATGGAGTTTAATTTGAGCAAGTGAGAGGTGCTGCACTATGGGAGATCAAATGTTAAGGAAAACTATATAGGTAATGGCAGGACCCTGACCAGCACTGATGTACATAAGGATCTTGGGGTTCAAACCCTTAGCTCCCTGAAAGTGGCTACGCAAGTAGACGGCATATGGTATGCTTGCCTTTATTGGTCAGGGAATTGAGTACAAGAGTCAGGATGTCATACTGCAGCTTTATAAGACTTCGGTTAGGCCACACTTAGAGTATTACGTTCAACTCTGGTTCCCACATTACAGGACGGATGTGGAGACTTTGGAGAGGGTGCAGAAGAAGTTTAGCAGAATGCTGCCTGGATTAGAGGGTATGAACTATAAGGAGAGGCTAGAAAAACTCGGGTTATTTTCTCTGGAGTGGCAAGGCTGAGGGGAGACTTGATAGAAGTCTATAAAATTATGAGAGGCATAGATAGGGTTGACGGTCAGAATCTTTTTTCCCAGAGGTGAAATGTCTAAAATTAGGGGGCATGCATTTAAGGCGAGAGTGGGCAAGTTCAAAGGAGACGTGAGGGGGAAGTGGTAGGAGTCTGGAATGCACTGCCAGGAGGCAGATACAATAGGGATGTTTAAGGGACTTTTAGATAAACACATGAATATGCAAAGAATGGAGGGATATGGACCAAGGGCAGGCAGAAGGGATTAGTTTGATTTAGCATCATGTTCAGTATATCATGGTGGGCCGAAGGGCTTGTTCCTGTGCTGTACTGTTCTATGTTCTATGAGCAGGTGTGTCAGTGCCCTGCAGAATCAGGCTGCAGATAATCAGTGGGAAGGAAGGTGACTGATCTCTGACTTAAACCAACACCTTACTTACACTGTCATGTAGTCATGCTCCGTGTTTTCGGTCAGTGATTTATTCAGTAATGCTGCGTCCGGCAGTGAGAGATGGTCAACAGAGTCCCAGTGAGGGAGGTCCCGCAGCAGGAAGTAACGCCACAAAAGGGGGTCATGAACCATGGCATTCCAGTAGCGACTGACACATCCGAGCTGGCAGAGATCCCGGGGAGATAGTAAGCCCATGATGTACATCTGTACCTCCGCCTGTAACAGGAGCACAGCAAGATTGTTAAAGTTTTACGGCTCAGGACAGGAACGAGAGCGCTGGGGTCAGGATTCCTAAAGAAAATGGAGGTTGATTGAAAAGACAGATGTTCTGCCTGAGGATTGCAGGACCAATGCAGCAAGGCCACATTTCAAACATTCACATGTACATGGTCTGAAATCTGGTATTTCTGGTTTATGCCCTCAGGAGATTTAATTCATTTGTTCATACAATGTGGCTGTATCTAGGATTCCCTCAGCACCCAGAGCATAATTCAGAGTCAGCCACATTGCTATGGGTCTGGAGTCACTCATAGACCAGACCAGACCAGGCCATGTAACAGAAGGCAGATTTCCGACCATTATGGATGTGAGGGAACCAGCTGGGTTCTTATGACAATCAGCTTCATCATTCAAGGAGAATTTAAATGGAGATGTTTATTCCATTCAAGTTTCACCATTTGCTACAGATTGAAGGAGGGACACCATATTCTGTTGGCAGTAAGAGATCCACATCAACATATTCCATCATTGACCAAGACACAGGTTCATCCAGAACTAAGATATAGAATAACACAGTGTGGAGCTGGAGGAACACAGCAGGCCAGGCAGCATCACAGGAGCAGGAAAACTGGCGTTTCAGGTTGGGAGTCTTCTTCAGAAATGGAGGAGGGGGAAAGGGAGCTCTGAAATAAATAGAGCGGAGAGATGGGGCTGGGGAAGGTAGGTGGGATGGTGATAAGTGAGTGCAGGTAGGCAGTGGTGGGGATTGGTCAGTGAGATGGGAGGAGTGGATACGTGGGAGACAAGACAGACAGGTCAAGGAAGCGGGGATGAGAGGTAGGGTTGGTCATGGGATGAGGCCGGGGGTGGGGAGATTTTGAAACTAGTTAAATCCACATTGAGGCCATTGGGTTGGAGGCTCCTGAGGCGGAATATGAGGTGCTGCTCCTCCAGTTTTGGGCGGTGTCATTGTGATACTGGAGGAGGCCCAGAATGGACATGTCGTCCAGGGGGTGGGAGGGGGAGTTGAAGTGGTTTGCGACTGGAAGGTGTTGTCATTTGTTGCAAAAAGAGTGCAGGTCCCCTACAAAGAGGTCTCCGAGACTCCACTTGGTCTCCCCAATGTAGAGGAGGCCACATCGGGAGCAGCAGATGCAGTAGACCACATTGACAGATGTGCAGGTGAACCCCTGTCTGACCCTCTCATCTCACTGACCAATCCCCACCACTGTCTACCTGCACTCACCTATCACCATCCCACCTACCTTCTGCAGCCCCAACTCTCCGCTCTCTATTTATTTCGGAGCTCCCTTCCCCTCCCCCATTTCTGAAGAAGGGTCCCGACCCGAAACGTCAGCTTTCCTGCTCCTCTGATGCTGCCTGGCCTGCTGTGTTCCTCCAGCTCCACACTGTGTTATCTCTGACTCCAGCATCAGCAGTTCTTACTATCTCTTCATCCAGAACTGATGTGTTCCATTGGGACAGTGTAGAGGGAGCTTTACTCTGTATCTAACCCTGTGCTGTCCCTGTCCTGGGAGTGTTTGTTGGGGGACAGTGTCAAGGGAGCTTTACTCTGTATCTAACCCCGTGCTGTCCCTGTCCTGGGAGTGTTTGATGAGGGACAGTGTAGAGGGAGCTTTACTCTGTATCTAACCCCGTGCTGTCCCTGTCCTGGGAGTGTTTGATGGGGGACAGTGCAGAGGGAGCTTTACTCTGTATCTAACCCCGTGCTGTCCCTGCCCTGGGAGTGTTTGATGGGGGACAGTGTAGAGGGAGCTTTATTCTGTATCTAACCCCGTGCTGTCCCTGCCCTGGGAGTGTTTGATGGGGGACAGTGTAGAGGGAGCTTTACTCTGTATCTAACCCCGTGCTGTCCCTGCCCTGGGAGTGTTTGATG